TCTTCTGGAAACTTAATCTTATCCCCCTATAGAGAACAATTCTTTTTTTTTTTAATGTTTTATTTATTTATTATTGTTTTATTTAATTATTTTGGTTGGGGGTGGTAATTAGGTTTATTTATTTTTTGAGGAGGTACTGGGGATTGAACCCAGGACCTCATGCGTGCTAAGCATGTGCTCTACCACTTGAGCTGTACCCTCCCTGAGAGTAGTTCTTGATGTGCTACTCAATCTGCCCAATGGACAGACTTGACTTTTCTCTTGGGATACAGAATTATAGAGAGAAAAATAGAGTTGCAAAGTGAGAGGCACCGAAGTTATGTGGACATATGGGAAAGGGATAACTGCTTTTGACATATTTAGTCTGTAAACGTGTGTGGAAACTTGCATGTATCTCTTGTTTTTCCAGATTTTGCTCATGGGAGGGACACTTAATGTGTTATTTGAATTTAACCATTATATTTTAACATACATCCTGATTTAATCATATTGGTCAAAAGTTTCTTTTTATAACATCCAGACAGCTTGTGCATAGAACCACATGCAGATTTATTTTGTCACCAACTGGTCACCATATGGAAGCCAGTTGAAATGTACTTTTGATTATATAACCCTCTGCACATAGGCAAGTCATCTCATGGGGGCTCAGGGAGCCTTGTGATGAGTAGATTCAGCTTGAGACCAAAGATGTGGATCTGAGAGTTTGGCGTTTCTGGACCCACATGACCTTGTCTAAGAAAGAATCATAAGGAGAAAGTCGATGCCTTAGGTTACCTTCTCATAGGATGAGCTCATAAAAACATGTGCTATCCAACCTTCTTCAGATGTGATAATTAATGCTAGAGATATTTCTTTAGTAATTTGACCACTTCAATAATGCATTCACAAGAAAAAAATATATATATAGAAAAGAGAAGAAGGAAGACTAGAATGAGTGGCTGGAGTTGTGGGAAATGCGTATATAATTTATTCCCTCTTAAAAAATTGCAATTGGGCTATTCTATTGCACAGATTTCTGTCATAAAAACGAAGTTGAAGAATAAAAATTGTATTTTCTTCTTCTTATTCACCCCCAGTAAATATTATTTTAAGGCCATTTAAAATAACTGTCTTAATTAAAATTTACTTAATTACATGTTGTGTTGACAATGTCATAATTTATAGTAGAAATAAACTGGGACTTATTTTTAATCTCAAATTTAGGGGTATAAGAAAATAAAAATATAGTGATTTTCTAGATAGTATTAGATATTTGTGTTCCATTTTGGCATTTCCTTTCAGTTGACCTGACATGAAGATAGAAATGACAGCTATTTCTCAGTTGGCATTTGAAAGACAAGAGCAATAAGAAACCCAGCAGAACTCCTGGAGAATTTGCATAGGGAAAATAAGCATATTGACATTCTTTGACTTTTGTATATTGATTTTTGGCTCCAGCTGCTCCAAAACCATTAAGAGTTAGAGTTAATCATTCTTGATTTTTTTTTTATTGTCAATCCGTTTGCTTATTCATCATGTTGAATAATACCAATACTGTTTAGTTTCATGTATGCCCACGTGCAGTGCTATGTGGTAGCCAATTCGTACAGTGGCAATACTGAAATTCTTGCAGGTAACTGATAAAATATCTGATATTCTAAGTCAAGGAATAAATCTTGTGTATTTCAGAGGTGGTCCCAGAATGATCTTGAACAACCCTACTGTGTTAAATACATCAGCATCTCTTTCCTGTAAAGATAACCTGAAGGGTCTTTTGAAATATGTACAAGTCCTTAATTTTAAAAAATTTTATTGGTGAAGTCAGCTTAATTAGTGATGAAAGGAATGACTCTTCATCCCTGTGTTAGTG